TGACACCGCCGCACCCTGACAACGAATTTCATGCCCCAATTTACATGCTCAATGACGATGCGCTTCTCAATATCTTTTACATCCATTCATTGGATACCGCAAAGACATACGATGACATTCCCCCTTGGCCCAAATGGAACCGTGCACGCTGGTGGTACAAGTGCGCACAAGTCTGCCAACTATGGCGGTACCTCATACTTGCATCGCCAGCTCACCTAGATCTCCATCTTATTTGCACCTACGGCACGCCCGTAGCTGATATGCTGGCACATTCACCTCCCCTACCACTCATCATCAATCTCATGGACGCAGCGCGCGAGGCATCCGCCGAGGATCAAAAGGCCATACTACTTGTGCTCCAGCATCGCGACCGTGTACGCCGCATTGGCCTTTCAATGCCAGTAGCAAACTTGTTGAAGCCCGTCGCGGCAATGGACGGTCAGTACCCAGTGCTGGACCGTCTATTCATCTGGCCGCCTGGGGAGGCCAACCCGGGCTTGACTCTTCCCACAAATTTTCAGGCACCTCGTCTACGCATGCTCTCGCTATCTTATATTGCCCTTCCAATGCGGCATGGGCCACTTGCAACCACTGCGGGCCTCGTCTCCCTCGAGCTTTGGAAGCTGCCGCAACTCGCTTACTTCCACCGCGGTGACTTAGTCGCATCCCTTTCTTCGATGCCCCAATTGGAGAGCCTTTCAATCGGCTTCAAGTCTCCTCGTTTCATCATTGATTCCGAGGGACAACTTTTACAAACCACCAATGGTACACACGTCGCCCTTCCTTCCCTCCGGGTGTTTTATTTCCAGGGTGTGGGCGCCTACTTGGAAGGACTGCTTGCTCTAGTCAGCGCTCCTCTCCTCAAGACCCTTCGAATTTCGCTCTTCAACCAGCTTCCCTTTCCCTTCCCACACCTCTCGAAGTTTATAAACACAATAGAAAATCTCCGGTTTAGCTTTGCTTGGTTGTTTTTTCGTCGGAAAACGGTCATTCTGACAACATGCCTCCATGAGGGGGACAAGGCCGCCCGCTTTGATGTGGCAATCGGATGTACACGCCTCGAATTGCAAGTCCCGACCGTGATGCAGATTCTTAATTGCCTCATGCCAAGACTCTCTGTCGTGAAGCGACTTGCTCTCAGCCATGAGAAGCACGATGTGTCATCGGGGTGGCACAGCGAGGCCAATCGCACACGATGGCGCGAACTTCTCAGACCGTTCAGTGGCGTCAAGGTGCTTCACGTGGCAGGTGGGCTTATCCGGCAGGTCTCTCGTTCGTTGGAATTCGAGGACGGAGAACCACCTCCGCAACTGCTTCCCGAGCTGAAGAAGCTCATATATTACAAGGAAGGCGATCCCAGCGATGCATTTACCTCCTTCATCGAGTCGCGTAAGATCGCCGGCAGCTCCATAACCCTGACCCAAAAACCTCCCTCCCCTTCATCGTTGCTGTGAGCTGTGGTGCGTGGCGAGGCCCCACCATGCGGTCAGGGCTATCACTGTCGTTCCCCGGTCGCGATCACGGTGTGCCGTACCCTGCTGTTCATTCACATCTCATCCGTGATCACCCTCGATCAGTAAACGAGGTCGTGGTGCTATGCCCAACCCACATGGGCGAAAGATGGTGCCTTCATGGACCTAGACCAGCTTCGCGTCCTCCCATTTGCGACAACCCCTTATTTCCCTTCTCCGGGCCCAACGTTGGTTATTGCTGATTGGACCATGCCCTGACGTGTCGATCATGTTACTGGTGACTTGGTCAGCTGCTCCTGACGACATACAAGTGGCGAGTGGATATCGGCTGACAAGTGTTTGAGACCCAAAAGTCACGACACCACGCTTAATATGCGACGCGCTCCGTCTTATCTCCCCTCGTGAATGATGGTGCGTGACTAGACAGCTGCTTTCCTTAACTAGCTGTGTGTTGACTACAACAACAAACAGTGGCTCATGACTCAGATCGGTGGGGCCTTCATTTTCACTGCGTGCAATTAAGGGTTTTTCTCTAAGAAAAACTCTAATAAAACCCTGTGAAGTGTTAAACAATTATCAGAGTTTATTCGCCCAGAATACTCAGCAAAATGGAGTTTAAGTTTATTTCATTTTTGGCTTGGCATGCCTGCTATTGCTTAACAATTAGTTAAAGATTTTTTTTCAAAGTTTTTCCGAGAAATAAACACTGATAATGCTTTAACACTTCACAGGGTTTTATTAGAGTTTTTCTTAGAGAAAAACCCTTATTTGCACGCAGTGTTTGGCGGTGGCGTCGTCTGTGAGCACGTGAGCTACTAGAAACCAATATAATACGTCACGTGACCACAGTGTTAAACCCCTCTCTTCTCTCCTCTCTTAGATCCCCTGGCTATTTCATTCACTTCTTCCTCCCCTCTACGTGTCTTCCTATTCGAGCTCCATTGCCACCTCGATCTGTTCACCGCCACTAGCGCATTGTCTACCATGGCGCATCTTCATAACGACCTTTTTAACTACACGTCAGGGCGGTGGATGCAAGTCCCATATATGTTATTCGACGAGGTATATGTCTGACCCGTAATCTAACATGTTCAGCATCAACGATGTCCTTCGCCACGCAGAACGCAGTCGCGACTTCAACGTCAATGGGCTACGTCGACTTGCAGCGGAGTTTGTCGGTCGGAGTTCTGATGATATTGTCGACCTGAAAAAACTCGCCGAGGGTGGGTTTAACCGTACCTTCCTCATCACCATGCGCGGTGGCTTCCGAATGGTGGCGCGTATCCCGTACCCGATTACGGTTCCCAAGTACTTCGCTGTCGCTAGTGAAGTGGCTACTATGGCCTTACTCCGCTCCTCTGGGCTGCCTATACCTGAAGTATACGGATACTCGCCTGCGCCGGACAACGCGGCAGAGACCGAGTATATCTTTATGGAATTTGTAGAAGGCACTAGCTTGAGCGACAAATGGTTTGACCTAGGCGAAGGGGACATTATTTCGATCTCTCGCCAACTTGCTGAACTCGAATCGAAGATGATGTCGATTACTTTCCCGGCTGGCGGAAGCCTGTACTACACAAAAGACTTGGAGAAGGTGGCCAGGCCGGGCATCCCGCTAGAGGACGAGCGTTTTTGCGTCGGTCCAGATACAAGACTTCCTCTGTGGTATGGCAGGAGATCACACCTCGACGTAGACCGAGGACCATGTAGGCCGCTCTCTGGCTTTTGTTTGTTATTCCCTCCAACTAACTGATAACTATAGACTCAAGTGCCAAAGCAGCTCTCGCAAGAGGTGCCGACAAGGAACTGGCTTATCTGGAGCAGTTCGGTCGGCCGCTGTTGCCGTTCCAGCGCGAAAGGAGGGAAGGTTACCAGTACAAGAAGCAGTCGCCATCAGATCACGTCGAGAACCTGGGCCGTTATCTTCTCATTGCGTCGTCACTCATCCCCAGGAACCCAGCCCTCCGTGATTTCCGCATCCGCCATCCCGACCCCCAGCCGAGCAATATCATCGTTTCCAGATCGCTCGACTCTAACTTGCACGTCGTCGGCCTGATCGACTGGCAACACACCCCGATCCTACCCACGTTCCTCCTTGCCGGTATACCCGAACGGATACAGAACTACGATGATCCTATCTCGCAATCTATGACGCGGCCTTCGCTACCGGAGAATTTGGACGACTTGAACGAAGCCCAGCAAAGCAGAGCGATGGAACTCTACCGTCGCCGCCTCGTCCATTACCACTACGTCAGAAGCACGAAGGAGTACAACGGGCCCCATTACGCGGCATTGTCGGACCGCGTGGGCATGCTCCGCCGTCGCCTCTTCAGCTACGCCAGTGACCCGTGGGAGGGTGAAACTCTCGCACTGAAGGTTGCACTGATAGACGCAGCGGAGGACTGGGAGACGCTTACAGGGAGAGGAGGCCCGCCGTGTCCTGTCGTGTTCGACGCCGAGGACGTACGCGAGACGCGGAAGCTGGATGACGAACAGACAAGAGCGGACAAGACTCTAGAGGGGTGCCGGAGCATAATCGGCTTTGGGCCGGAGGGCTGGGTGTCCACCGAGCACTACGAGGAGGCCATGACGCGCAGCAGAAAGCTGAAGGAGGCTATATTGGAGATGGCTGGGGAGAAGGAACGGGCACACTGGCCGTTTGACGACATGAACGAAGAGGAATACACGTAATGAATCGGGCCAGAAGTCCGCGGTAGTTGTAAGTTATCTTTTCTACTGTATTGAATCGCTGTGGCTCTGACATCTGGAACGTTCTGAAAAGATAGAGAAGCCCGTCCTTATCTTATCAATTCTAGACGTCACTGCAAATGCTTCTTGGCACGAGGTATCATATAATGATGCAATGATGTATAGCTCCTTTGTTATGTAGAAAAAATCAATTGCCCAATAAACTGCAATGCAAGGACAGCCTAAGTGCTACGTCCGCCTTTAGCATTGCGGGCAACGGGGATGAAAATTACTTTCAATATGGATCAGACTCAGGCCTTGTCCCGTTTTCGGTCGCCCAAAAGTCCTACTCAGAAGGCCCAATTGTTCTGGTTCTGGTTCGGGCTCGGTGTCCTCCGAGTCTCGTTCTACGACCTCTTCCTTCTGTATCCGTATCCGGTGTTGATTCTTATACTCTGGAGGCGACTCGATGGCTGTACCACCCCGCCACATGCCTCTCCGCGCAGCCCTGAACCAACCCTGTCAACAGTTTTAGTAAGTCACAAACCGAGACCGAGAACTGAAAAGGAAAAAAATAAGAACGAAACGCACTCCGCTTCGGCTTCAGCGACCAGGTACATTTCCTTGCTCCAGTTGCCGTATACTGCCCCGGCCCTCTCATACTCTACCCGTGTAGGGGATATAATCTGTCACCCAGTAGAGGTTGGCCTAGATATAAGGCAACCCAGTTAGTGGTGAAGATATATGCCCCAGTTATGGGTGGTCTGTCACACTGGTTGGCCCAAGAATTAGAGAGGCAACACAGTGGAGAAGATGTAAAAACCCAAGTCATGAACCCATGGCTAGGTAGCTCAATAGGTAGAGCACCTGGTCTATATCCAGAAGGCCTGGGTTCAATCCCCAGTCTGGCCAGTCCCACTTTTGTGTACTCCAACAACCCGGATCATCTTGAGCATGAGAGATTGCGCGCAGGACCTATCCATGTCCGCCACTTCCCAGCGGCGGCGTGGTAGAAGAGGAAGGGCGACAATGTGCACATACTGGTCGCTCCGGAGGAGTTGGCATTTGACCCGACGAGCCTCGATTTATGCTCCTTGAGCCACGGGAGCGCTTCGGCAGCGTGGGGCTGTGCGGGATTTTTCAAAAAAAAATGCGAACTCCAGTTGCGGAGCTGCACGGTAGCGAACGAGTGAGATATCTGAGTTGCAGGCGCGGGATGAGAGTCGCAAGATGCGGAACTCGGTAGGCATCACCTCGGGGGCGTCCATACCCGCCAATGCGGATGTGTGGATCTTTCAGTTCTGCGTCATGTGTTTTTGAATTTTGAGCGTGGCAAATGTTGAAGGACGGGAAAGGGAGGCGCGGGATTTCGGGAGAGTATCAGAAATGTGGTCACGGCGCGTTCAAGTTGTGGGTGGCTACGCAGCTCGCTTTGTTGTAGGTACACCCCTGAATTTGAATGGTCCACGCCAGCCAAATCCCGGTGTGTGATAGAGACGGAAGCTGTCCGCATCACCCACGCTACATACAAACGTGCGCCAGTATTGAATCAGAATCGGGCTCGCGCGGGGTGGGAACTATCAGCGAACACACACACCAGGTCACGACGCCCGCGATCCATCGCTTTCTCCAACAGATCAGGCCTGTCAGGGGTAACCCACCCCGCATTCTTAAATGCGCTTGAAGAAGCGGCGATGGATGGAAGATGCCCCAAGTACTAGTAGTGTTGGCGGAGCCGAGAAAGGAAATCCAAGCCTGATGGCATCGGCGTCGGGTCGGACTGGTTGTTGGTCAGCCTCGCCGCGAGCGGCGCGCTTGCGCCCCCCATTGAGCTTCCGCGCGTTTGGGTCCGGGTCAGGTGCGTAAGCTAACGGCAAGAGGATCGAGCTACTACGAGCCACTGGCTCGCGGACGAAGCATTACGAGGACTTCTCGGACATTTCTGATGGTCAAGGGCGGCTTGTGGATGCAGGGTGGTGGCCGTGCGTGAACGTGACGGAGGGCGATCAAGCGCGAATTCAGACACCGGCGGTGCCCACGAATCCCGCTCTTCCTTCCCTCCGGGTGTTTTATTTCCAGGGTGTGAGCGCCTACTTGGGAGGACTGCTTGCTCTAGTCAGCGCTCCTCTCCTCAAGACCCTTTCGGATTTCGCTCTTCAACCAGCTTCCCTTTCTCTTCCCACACCTCTCGAGGTTTATAAACACAATAGAAAATCTCCGGTTTAGCTTTGCTTGGTTGTTTTTTCGTCGGAAAACGGTCCATTCAGACAACATGCCGCCATGAGGGGGACAGGGCCGCCCACTTTAATGTGGCAATCGGATGCACTGTTCAGCACGTGTCGCCAGGGTGCTTGTGGTTTCCTGGAAGGGACAGACTGTGGTGGCACGAGATAGGACAGTGGTACGAGGAAGCCGTGAAGGAGCCATTCCAGTTAGCCCGAGAAGGCGCGACAGCTTCTTGGACATTGCGGTTATTGAGCCTTGTTTTCGTTTACCTTGATTGGGCAGCGCCCCGGATATTGCGTGGTTCGTAATTGGACCCCAATAAAAACACGTTGTCTAGAGGGCGAGGGTAAACGGAAGACGGCGAGAGGGAGCCTGAGCACGGGTCAAGGCGGATAGCAACTGTCTTAGAGAGGCAAAACGCAGGTGAAGGGCCCCATGGTATAAAGTCATGCTCGTAGATGCAGACTTGTTTGCTTGTTCATTGACAACGGAATGAACGGTATCGAGAAAGAGAAACAAAAGCTTGAACAACCTCCGTCCACAGGAGTCGTATAGCTAGATCCCGTGACCGCGTGAACCAGAGTTGGGCCTGCGGTCGTTAGCGCCAACCCATTGCACAGCACCATCATAAATCCAGAGTCTGCAACTGTCTCCGCTTGCCTGAGATGCACCCCCGTTTGCATTCGATCTATCGGGACATTCCGCCAACGTGTACCAAATGGGTCCCAACTTGAAGAGGACCAAGACCGGAGGTGCTCTTCTTGTTGTACCTCAACCAGCTGATAGATTGATATCGTCGCACCGACAACAGACCCTATGCCCCGATTCATATGCTAAACGACGATGCACTTCTCAGTATCTTTTACGTTCTGTCGTTGGACATTGCAAAGACATATGATGACATCCCCCCTTGGCCCAAATGGAACCCTGCTCACTGGTGGTACAAGTGCGCACAAGTCTGCCAACGATGGCGGTACCTCATACTTGCATCGCCAGCTCACCTAGACCTCCATCTTATCTGCACGTACGGCACGCCCGTAGCTGATATGCTGGCACATTCACCTCCCCTGCCCCTCATCATCAATCTCATGGACGAAGCGCGCGAGGCATCCGCCGAGGATCAAGGGGCCGTACTACTTGTGCTCCAGAACCATGATCGTGTACGCCACATTGGCCTTTCAATGCCAGTAGAAAACTTGTTGAAGCCCATCGCGGCAATGGACGGTCAGTACCCAGTACTGGACCGTCTATTTATTTGGCCGCTTGGGGATGGCAACCCGGACTTGATTCTTCCCACAACTTTTCAGGCGCCTCGTCTACGCATGCTCTCGCTACCTTATCTTACCCTTCCAATGGCATATGGGTTACTTGCAATTGCTACTACTACGAGCCTCGTCTTCCTCGAGCTTTGGGAGCTGCCGCAACATGCCCACTTCCACCACGACGACTTAGTTGCGTCTCTTTCATCGATGCCCCAATTAGAGGGCCTTTCAATCGGCTTCAATTATCCTATTTTAATCGATGATGTTAGTGTGCGACATTCACATACCCCCAATGGTTCACACGTCGCTCTTCCTTTCCTCCGCGTGTTTTATTTCCAGGGTGCGCTCGCTTGCTTGGAAGAACTACTTGCTCTAGTCAGCGCTCCTCTCCTCAAGACCCTTCGAATTTCGCTCCTCAACCGGCTTCCCTTTCCCGTCCCACACCTCTCGCAGTTTATAAACACAATAAAAAATCTCCGGTTTAGCTTCGCTTCGCTGGAGTTTCGTCGGAAAACGATCATTCTGACGGCAGGCTGCCGTGAGGGGGACAAGACCAAGGCCACCCGCTTTTACGTGGAAATCGGGTGCACACGCCTCGACTCGCGAATCCCAACCGTAATGCATATCGTCGATGCTCTCATGCCAGGACTCTCTGTCGTAGAGCAACTTGCTCTCAGCCATGAGGAGCACGATCCATCATTTGTGCGGCACAGCGTTGTCGGTCGCACACAATGGCGCGAACTTCTCAGCCGATTCAGTAGCGTCAAGGTACTTCACGTGGCCGGGGGGCTTATCGGGCAGGTCTCTCGTTCGTTGGAATCGGAGGGCGGAAAACCACCTCCGCAACTGCTTCCTGAGCTGAAGGAGCTCGTATATTACAAGGAAGGTGATCCCAGCGACGAATTTAGCTGGTTCATCGGGTCGCGGGGCCGCTCTATAACCCTGACCCTAAACCCACCTTCCCCTTCACCGTTGCTGTGAGCTGTGGTGCGTGGCGAGGCCCCACCCACGCGGTCAGGGCTATCACTGTCGTGCCCCGTTCGCGATTACGGTGTGCCGTACACCGCTGTTCATCCACATCACATCCGTGATCACCCTCGATCAGTAAATGAGATCGTGCTGCCGTGCCAAACCCACATGGGTGAATGATGGTGCCTTCTAGACCGACTTCGCGTCTTCCCATATGCGACAACCCCTTCTTTCCCCTTTTCCGAGCCCGGCGTTGGTTATCGCTGATTGGACTATGCCCTGACGTGTCCGTCATGTTACTGGTGACTTGGTCAGCTGCTCCTGTCAACATACAATTTTCAGGCGGATGTCGGCTGACAGGTGTTGGGATCGTTGAGACCCAAAAGTCACGACCACCCGGTTTGGACGACACGTGATGAGCGACACGCTTCCGTCTTATCTCCTGTCCGTGCGTGCGTTTGCGATAACACGTTTGCGATAAGACTAGCTGAGGGTGAGTGAAAACGTTTTCCTCCAGGCAAACCGCCTTGCTTAACTAGCTCTCTGTAGATCAGTCACGATAACGTTAGCCGATAGATCGGGTTCCAAAAATAAGAGGATGGACCTACATCTACATAGAATATACGGGGAGATCGGGGACGGGCGCAGCTTGCCATTTTTGAGGGTCGGGCACGGACTCCGAGTCCAAAACAACAAACCTTATCTCATGAAGAATTTATGTCCCGAATGTAGTTTCTTGGCAGCGGCAGGCGCAAACACGAACAGACGCCCTGGCGCACACACAGGTACAGCTCAGGGATGGTGTTGATACGAAACCAGTACATACCAAAAAAAATTTCAAGGACTCATCTAGGCGCGCCCGCGTCCATCTTTCTTTCTGGGGAAGCGGGCGCGGGATTCCACACTACAGTACTGTAATCCTTCTCATCACGCCATGTCAGCAGTCGACTAATTGGGTCCAGCGGCTGCGGCGCTCCACTGGGACACTTTCGATCATTGCCCTGTTCCCTTACGTTGCCGGGGTGGATCACAGGCCACGCTGCACGGGACAGAGTGGGTCTCTCTCTACCCACGGCGTGGTCTCATTTCTCGCTCGTTATTCGTTCGAGCCGGTACGACCTCCGAATTCGGACAAAGTAACTTGACCGATATGGCCGGTGAGTAACCTTTACATTGCGTATTATTCATAGCTCGGGGGTGTCAGGCCATATGGGCGAATGACATGTGTCGGAGAGAAATCATTAGATAGGAAGGTGGCGCTTGGTTCAACACATACACGGATAAAAAAGTCAATACAGTAAAGTCGAGACAAAAGACGTGACGCAACACAGCGTACACATCGTGTCGTAGAACGGTACAGAGAAGTGCCGAGAAGAGAAGGCCAAGACAAGTGGCCAGACTGGTCAAGGCCGGCGGGTGGGTCCGGAAGAGATGTGGGCGCTGGCGCGGGTGTAC